CAATGTCTACACAAAATGTAATAAAACAATATTAATATGATAAAATATCAAGCAATGTCTACACAAAATGTAATAAAACAATATAAATATGATAAAATGTCAAGCAATGTCTACACAAAATGTAATAAAACAATATAAATATGATAAAATGTCAAGCAATGTCTACACAAGATGTAATAAAACAATATAAATATGATAAAATGTCAAGCAATATCTACACAAAATGTAATAAAACAATACAAAATATGATAAAATGTCAAGCAATGTATACACGAAACGTACTCAGACAATACAAGTGTGATAAAATGTCAAGCAATGTCTACACAAAATGTAATAAAACAATACAAATGTGATAAAATGTCAAGCAATGTCTACACAAAACGTAACAAAGCAATACAAATATGATAAAATGTCAATTAATGTCTACACGAAACGTAATAAGACAATACAAGTGTGATAAAATGTCAATTATTGTCTACACGAAACGTAATAAAACAATACATATGTTACAAAATGTCAATTAATGTCTACACAAAACGTAATATCACAATACAGATATGACGAAAATGTCAAGTAACGTCTATAAAAAACGCAATAAAACGATACAAATTAACGAAAATGTCAATAATGTCTACACGAAACGTAATAATACAGTACAAGTGTGACAAAATGTTAGATTAGACAGAAGAAATAGCTGATATTTTTCCGAATTCGTGGTTACATTCTTAAGTAGTGAATAGCGTATTTAGTTGTAACAAAAAAAGAAGCAAAAACCTGTGGCTTAATTTTTCGTAATTATAACAATAATTGATAAAAAATTATTTTTTTTTGCTTTGTTTTGAAAGTCGTAAATATCAAAGGAAAATCAATTCCACACGCTAATTATTTTGTTTGTTTTCAATAATTCACAAAGCTACACAAGAGCTATCTGTGCTCTGCCCGCCACGGGTATCGAAACCCGGTTTCTAGCGTTGTAAGTCCGCAGACATACCGCTGTGCCACTGGGGGTCCGCTAATTATTAACCGCTTAAAGTGAAAATTATCTACCGTATTTATGTTTCCTGTAAGCCTTTACATACTAAAGAAGCAAAGTTATTCTCACGAAAAAGATTATTTGTTTGTTATGGATTTCGCGCAAAGCTACACGAGGACTATCTGCGCTAGCCGTCCCTAATTTAGCAGTGTAAGACTAGAGGGAAGGCAGCTAGTCATCACCACCCACCGCCAACTCTTGGGCTACTCTTTTACCAACGAATAGTGGGATTGACCGTCACGGCTGAAAGAGCGAGCATGTTTGGTGTGACAGGGATTCGAACCCTCGACCCACATATTGCGAGTAGAGCACCTAACAGCCTGGCTATGCCGGGGCCCCACGAAAAAACAACAAAAAAAACGATAATAACAATGAAGCTTTAAGAAGAAAATTAAGAAGTTTTCAGTAGATTTAAAAGTTGGTATTATTCCTATTGGTAGTGTCAAGTAAAGCGATTAAAGTAAACTGGTTTTTGATTTAGTGCTCAACTTACCTCTAAAAAGAATCTCTCTATTCTGGACCAACTACTGCCCAGTGGTCAGCTTGCTGGACTGTGAAACTGATGTCCCGTGGTTCGCGTCTAGTTACCGCCAAGAAAACAAAAACAAAAGACATCCACACTCGCACTTCAGGAACGTTGGTGCGTTATAAGAGTGAACATCAAATCCCTGTATTCGGTCTTACAAGCATAGCCTTTATTTCCTTTAGGGACTGCTAACGCAGACAACCCTCGTAGCTTTGCGCGAAATCCAACAAATAAACAAATTATTTATTTAACATGCCCCCTGGCGGTTAAGGGTAAACTTGTATACTTATAACACTAAACACTAGGGTTTATTCGCAGTGGTCACAGCGAAAATAGCCCATTTTGGATCTATTTAACATACATTAGTAAAGGTTTGAGGTGAGTCTTCTACAGTCGTAATACTTTCGTGCATATCTAATACCATTCATAAAAACTATACTTATTTTGTAAATATTGCTAATTTTAGTCCTGCATGAGTCCTAAAACGTACGCCAATGAAATCCTCGCTCATTGAAACCGTCTTGAAAATAACACTAATACAGTCTATTTGTACAAATTCATCTTACATTGTCTCACTGATAAAGAATCTCAGGATGTCAGGTTTTCCAGTTCAGTATTTTTTTTGCTTCTTTCCTTGGTGTGAAGAGAGTTGGTTTGGTTGTTAACCACGAAGTTACATTGTGAGCTATCTATGTTCTGTCCACCACGGGTATTGAAACCTGAATTTTAGCGTCGTAAGCCTGCAGTCTCTCCGTTGGGCTACTGGGAAGCCGCTGTAAAGTGAACATGGTGATAAGTATAGACACCCAACCAGGTGGACACAGCGTGTATAAGAAAGCTAGACATTGGAGCTTTACGCAGCTTTAGTTGTGGCGTCATGTGACGTCTACAGTTAACAATGAGCATTTAAACAGACCGAATGCTGTACATAAATATTCACAGAAAACACTCTGTAATACCGATTTAGCTCGGCTGGTAGAAGTTGATACAATCTGAAACCGGACTTATGGCCAGTTAACAGTTATATTTTTCTAACATGGTGACTGGCTTATTAAATGAGTTGATTCCAGGTAAGGTCATTAAACTGGAGCGTAATTAAGAAGATAATCAACGATTTTCTGAAAAATTAAAAATGGCTTCCTTTTCTCGATGATGGGACAAGATTTGACTTCGTGGGTAATGATATTTTCTAGATAAAAATAACTGGACGGATAATCTTTAGGGTCACTCCAGGTCAATGTATTCGTGTAGTAATACTTTTAGTATATACGTCTATGCTAATACCTTCTTGTGGCAGTACCCTTTAACATATACGTCTATGCCAATACCTTCTTGTGGCAGTATCCTTTAACATATACGTCTATGCCAATATCTTCTTGTGGCAGTATCCTTTAACATATACGTCTATGCCAACACCTTCTTGTGGCAGTATCCTTTAACATATACGTCTATGCCAATACCTTCTTGTGGCAGTACCCTTTAACATATACGTCTATGCCAACACCTTCTTGTGGCAGTATCCTTTAACATATACGTCTATGCCAACACCTTCTTGTGGCAGTATCCTTTAACATATACGTCTGTGCCAATACCTTCTTGTGGCAGTATCCTTTAACATATACGTCTATGCCAACACCTTCTTGTGGCAGTATCCTTTAACATATACGTCTATGCCAACACCTTCTTGTGGTAGTATCCTTTAACATATACGTCTATGCCAACTACCTTCTTGTGGACAGTACCCTTTAACATATACGTCTATGCCTAATACCTTCTTGTGGCAGTACCTTAACATATACGTCTAATGCCTAATACCTTCTTG